CTTTGCCCAAACGGTTTCCGTGTTGCCACCACATTGACTCTGCTTTTTCTCCATGCTCCAAGGCTCAAACTGACCACCGTCTTGGCTGTTTGTACTTGACATATGCACAACCCAAAATCCGTGCAAAAGCTGCTAGCTTCTTGCTTGGTGCCCTTCAGCAAACATGCTGCCATTCACGATTTTTTCCCGGCTACAAATCACTTGACATTCGCGTTTGCTATGCAGAGCTGCAGTCCGCAATCAACCAATTCATTTGGGGTCCCAGCAGCAACATCAAGCATTAAAAAATGACTAAAGTGGAGAATACCACCATTCAGCCATGCGACAAACTAATTACAGGTACCCGGTCATTTCAGAAGCAAGCATTCCTAACCGGTACCCAATGGTTAGGTGAGCTTGGCCACACACCAAGCAAGCTGCTGTGAGCGAGGCGCAGTGGTGTGGCCGGTGCGCACAAAACCTCTTTGCCAACGTAAGAAGCGTCGGGTGCCTTCTGCGTGAGCTGTGGCTGGCTGCCAAAAAAAATGTGATGGCTGCATATGGGACAATGTCGTCCAACATGCTAAGGCGAAAGGCTTCAATGAGCCTAGTTGCGTCCTTGCTCCTAGTAGTAAGGCCAGGAGCCCCTAGTAGCTTCTTGTTCAAGTTGGGAGAAAGTGAAATCAATTGCCTTGCTGAAAACGCCGGATTTACCATGACATCAGACAATCGAAGACCCAATTGCATGTTTGTCGTGTTTTCGCAGCGATTATCCTTTTTTCATTCTAGCTGCTAGCCCTTGATGCGCTGACGTTTTCAGGACGCTCCGGCACACACCTCGCAAGTGTTGCACGCAGAACTAAGTTTCATGAGGTGGGCATTGAGGGCAATAATCCGGTGCCGGCAATCTTCCCCGGGCCAGTGATTCAGACAGCTGATGTGAAACGCTCATCAGCCACTCAGCCACCAAAAGCATGCAGCGAAGTCTCCCTTTTTCCTCAAGCCATTCAAGCTCAGCAAGTTCAGCTTGAAGCCAAATGGTCTTCCAGAAGTGCGTTTACTACAACGACATTGGAATCTTAGCCCCAATTGCGAGCAAAGATAACATGATCATGCTCAGAGAGTGAACCATAACCCACACTGATCTGCCAACAGTGGATTGTGAATACTTTTAACACAAACTTGGCTGGATCGTTGATGAACCTCCGTATCCCTTCCATCCACGAAAAGGTGCGCGAGAGCGAAAAGTCTCCAAAGGTCTACTGTAGGTCGATAGATAGATAAATAGACAGACAAATGGATAGATGGCCAGCCAGGCAGATAGGTAGATAGGCAGACATAGACAGAGATCGATATGGATCGATACTATAGGTCCAAATAAATCGATATAGATGGACATAGATCGATATAGATGGATATATAGATGGATTGAAATGGATATAGATGGATACAAATGGATATAGATGGATACAAACGAATTTGGATGGATACGCATGGATACCGATGGATAATATATGGATATTGATATGGATATGATGGATATGGATATAGCTGGATGGATCGATGGACAGATCGATCGCTAGATAGATAGGTGAAATTTGGCACTCGACCACAGAAAGTTGTGGAGGCGCTGGTCCATTCTCATCAACGTATAAATTGCACGAATTATTCTGCACTACTGAGACTCCATTCGCTGGAGGATATACAATTGTCATGCCAGCAGGGCCTGCAGCACTCGAATGACTCTGGGAACAATTCATGATACTCCAAATGACCGTCAAACTTTTGCTACGCCTACAAACAGCTCCAGTTCCTCAATCTCCCAACACTGCAGGTCCCCAGTATATCTCTGAATCACCACCACATCCGTCTTTCACTCCCTGTGTCTGCTTTGAGAACTGGGAGATTTCAACGAATGGATGGGCTCTCAGGTTGCTCAAGCCTTTGGGACTCCTGCAGGCATGTTGTCCGAATCAGAAACATGAGGAGCCTTCTTGAGGAACAAAGAGAAACGCAACGGCGACAAACACACCGTGATTGGGGTATTTGACTGTATCCTCCTTTTCTATCTTCGAATCATTTCGTTCACAATGATTGTTAACTGTGACGTTTCGTTTACACTCAGGTTCCCTTACGAGCGAGTGAAGACGATTCTCAAGACCACCCACCCAGGAACAAGCGAACCGTGTTGTTTTCAAAGTGCCTATACACTGTTGAGTTGCCTATTCTGGGGGTTTTGCAGGGTCAGCATTTGTGGGAAGGGTGGATTTGCGAGGCTTCGCGCAACACCAAAGGCTTTGCGAATTGGTTTCGCGAATCGGTTTCGCAACCTCTCATGCACTCTAAGTTGGCCTTTGCGAATTGGCTTCGCCTGTGTGAAATCTCAGAGCCTACGCCAGAGGCTTCGCGAGCCTTCGCCACACATAATGTATCACACAAATGCCTTCGCACATTTTGGTGAGTTATATAGAGTCTAATCTAAATTTATCATTAAAGAAAGGTGCCAAAGGAAAAATGCTACTCAAGTGAGGGTGCAACTTCTTTCACTCTCACCCGTTGCTGTGGCTCTTGCGTGCTAGGGAGATGAGAGACGATATCAACTCTGATTACAGTGACTTTGTATCAGTGGGATTGAGTTTTAAGGTTTGAAGATGGGGGCTTGCTTGGATACTAAGAGTCCAATGCTTGCTTCTTCTCTTCTTGGCTCTCCTGCTCACTCTTTTCTGATGTGCCCGTCACGAACGCTGTGCAAATGTTTCGACTCAACTCAATACTGCTTGTTCTTCGTGCGGATTGGTACTTCTTCCTATAGCCTATTATATGCCTCTTCATCATCTTCATGTCTTTTCTTGTCACTGGTTGTCTCTTCGTTGTGCTCTTTCGGTAGCTGGAGACGCTTCCTGGATGCTGCGAGGCGGCTTCTACGGTTTGGTGTCATAATTTCTTTCTACCACGGTGCAATCCACAGTGGGGCAGTTGTTGGTGTTGTGGACGCTGTAGGCGTTTACCTCTTCTCGCCCTGCGAGGTAGCCTCTTTTCGTTGGCCTGCGTTACCCTCCTCATCAATCGCAAAGTCTTTCATGTAAAACAACAATACTCTTTGTGGTCAGTTGTTCGAAAAGAAGTTGCTCCTTAATTCTCGAAATGCGACTCCATGCACAAGAAGTTCTGCCTTACTAGTTCAAGAGGATTGCTGGCAAGTGAAATGAGGATGTGCCGTCGGCGAAGCAACCTGCATCAACCCCCAGCCACAGAAAGGGCGCAAGAGCTCTCCGAACACCCTGGTCACGGCACCTCATTGTCAGCTGCATTGGTTCTCTTTCGTAGGCTCCTGAAAGGAATACAAGAGGTTTCTTCACAAAGACGACAAAATGCGCGACAGATTGTCCGCGTTTCACTTCGATCGGCCAACATTTTGATTGGAGATTGATCGCGATGGATACATAATATACATAGAGAGCAATCCAACGCCTCTTGAGGCCTAGCTGCATTCTCCGACAGGGGTTCAGTTTCAAAATGTCCTAGTTTCAGTCCCACGAACAAAGAAGTCCCAGTCCCAGTCACGTTCGTCTCTGGAGAGAATCTAGTGGAATCTGGTAGCGGAGGTAGAGGTCTTGTCCAGGTGCTCTGTGCATCCAAAAAGAAGCAAGAACCGTGGGACCCCATAAAGCCCCATGGGACCTCACAAAACCTCATGGGACCCTCGAAAACCCCAATGGAATGGGTTGATCCTGTTGACCTCCATCTGTCTCGGTCCTTTTTGCCCTTGAGACGTTCAGCCTCTTTGATTGCAGGATCAGCCCTTGGTTCTGCAAAAGCTGGAAAAACGACAAACTGAGACCTAAGGTGGTTGAAGGAAGGATGTAGAACTTGCGGTTCGCTCATTCTACTCTATCTTGGATGAGCAGGACTGCTTTCTAGAATAAAGGAAAAGCAGGGACAATCTGCTACGTGACCCGTGACCAACATCAAATTCGAGTCGTGGGCATAATGAAGACAGACAGGATTCTCTGTTTCAGGCATGTCTGAAGGTTGCTTGCCAATCAGCAAAAGAACTCAGGCCGACCAAGGTACAATTGTAAAAGTTTCCGCCATTCCTTCTCGCCCCTCAGGGTGTTCTTGATGTCCAGCGCATGGCCACTGGCATTCTTATAAAGTCCTGAGAAAGCGGAGGAAGCATGCTAGTGTTTGGGGGTTGAATGACAAATGAATCAACCTTGGTTGATGTCTAAGCCTTGTTGGAGAGACCATGTATTGAAACGTTGTTCAGTCAATATCGTTTCTACAGAATGAAAACTGAATGCACTCAACTTCCTGCTGCACATGTGTGTGTGTGTGTTTGTGCGAGCGTGTATTTGTGTTGCGCGTGCATGTATGTCCAACTTCCATCCGTACATGTCCGTCCCCATTTAAACACCTGGATTTCTCTTGATGTTATATTATGTGTTCAAGAGTTCACCATATATATATATATATAAGTAAACCAACACTTTTGATATGCAACAAAACGACATAGGCTGAAAGGTTGGTCAGTTGCCATGTATGGTCATGTGGTGCCTTATTCCACAAACTTCAAGTCAATGCAAAAGTTGGTTGTTCTTGCTCCTGCTGTTCTTGTGGTCCTGCTCCTTGGCTTCTGTTCTTCTTGTTCTTCTTGTTCCTGTTACTTTTGTTCGTCTTCGACTCTTCCTTATCTTTTTTTCTTGTACTGTTGTCATTGCTCGAGCTCGTGCTCTACGGAACGCTAGGGATTGCACAATGGATCCGTCCAAACAGTGCTTCCTCCAAACAACATCAAACAACCATGTCGGATACCACAAATCAACCTCTATTCGACCCCTCAACACCACAAGCCCCCCCCCAAAACCACCACAAAGCCCCGGCCTAGGAAGAACTCCTCGGGATCCACGTTCCGGAACCTCTCCTCCTGTGCACTCCAAAAGCATCGCAGGAGACCCAAAACACCCAGTAACGAGCAAACGAACCGTCATCTTCTCAGAGATGACCCCAGGTTTGACATTCAGAGAGCCTGCATATATGCTGCACTTCTGAGACAACAGGCTAGCGCAAGTGTTTCCTGTCACTGTGTTTCCTAAGACGTGGCTAGACAGCGTAGGGTGACCTTGTACAAACATGCGTTACCCACTTTACCACAAGAGCTACACAACATGTTGACACTTGGAGACCTCAAAGGTTTTGACTCTGTTTGCCGCATCGGTGGCGAATTCAGACACCTTGTGTCCTCGTGTTTGCAGGACATGAGTTGGAGATTCCCTGCATCCCGCGGGTCATCCCTGAAAAGAGAGGGGTAGGCTCACCTGGCCCCCAACTTCTTCATGTCCCACCTGCTGCAGGCGTCGGGTATACATCTCCTCAGTCGGTTTGTGGCACACAAGGCAGAAATACTGACAAGCGACATCAAAGCAACACTCAACCCCCTTTGTGTATGAGTGGGGAATCCTCTTAATCTTGCAGTCACTTGCTTTTGCTCACGCCAGCTATAAGGACCCTGAGGTTCTTAGCGCTTTATAACCAACATTCTCCTTGGTGTTGACCACCAAGTTAAGAACCCCAAAGTCGCTGGTTTCAACAAACCAGTTCCTGGCATCCACTCCTTGCTGTCGTCCGCAAGGGCACCGGCTGCCATTCCTGACCCCTTTGATTGGCTCTGCCAAGTGGCTTTCTTTAGATCCCAATGCTGAACCACCTGGTCCTCGGCATCAGCTGGGAGGATCGCTCCAAGATCTCCAACAGCTGTACAGTGATCACCCCTTAAACCCGCCAGGGCGGTTCAGACGGAGGTTGCTTGGCTTCGCATGTGTCATTGGCTTCGGGAAAAGTCTCCGGGCGGAAGAAGGTGTCCAAGGCACAGCGTTGAAGGATCTGAGTTGGCAAAAGTCGTAGAGCTGGCCTGTACCTGGCAGTTCGGACTTCTCGCTCCAGGATCTTTCATTCTGACATCGTCTTGGAATGATGCTACTTCCCGCTCCCAAGCGAACGAGTACAGCGCGTCCAACACCAAATCGGCAAGCCGACCAACACACGCGAATGACCAGTGGCGCTTCTTCAAACGACCAAGACATGCTGTTTGAATCGCCTCGAACCAGGTTGGCTGCAGCGCTGAAGAACATGGCGATGCCTGGCCACGCAGGCCGTCGAAACGGTGGAGTCCCGCAAGCAACTCCAGTCGGACAATTATAAAAATGGGTTGCCTTGATCACCTTGTTACAGACTTCCTGCTGGAAAAACACGAACACAAAACCTAGATTCGAAAGACGAGGAGCAGGTCGGAGCAGGTGACTATTCCGCATCGAAAGGATGGCCCTTGGCCACCCGTGGCGCCTTGGCCACACATCCGTGACGCAGTCATGATGTTGTCACAGTGCCTCAGGTCTGCAGAAACTTGGAATGGCAGAAACTCAGTGCACCAAACTCGGGTCGGATGTGTGTAGACACATTCGAAGAGAACGCAGTCGTCATGTTGCACATTCCAAAGGTTGGCAACATGTGTGTGTGTTCTTCAACCTTCTAGCAATGGCCTCCCTACTAGCGATGGCCTCCAACCTAATAGAGATGTCCTTCCAACCTACTAGCATGTGTGTGTGTGTCCACCCCTGGGCAAAGGGATCTCCACCGCCACCTTTTCCACGCTTTTCCACTAACTTTTTCAACCAGCAGGGGCACACGGCATCCATGACCTACCGTGTGCAACGAAGCTGCGGTCATGGATGGGAAGGGAAGGCTGATCACCTTCCTGTACCTGCTCCCAACACACTGACTCCAATGGTCCACCCTGCCGCTGTTCGTTGGTTCAATGGTTCTTCATGCTACCGCCCCCAAACCCACCGCAGCCTTACAGCCGACTTGCAGCCACGCTGAGTGTCCGATCGTCTTTTCGAGTGCCACTGCAAACAAGGTTAAACCATACTGTTTTCACTGACCTTTGCGCCCTGCGGTTCTTCGCCTTTCTTCCCATCGGGAAATTGAGTTAACTGAATACAAGTGTCAGAGTGTGTTTCGCTCAGCCGTCCCACTCGGGTGCTGAGTGTGATCCCCGTCACTGGGGCACGGTTTTCCACTTCGGCAAGCAACCACCCCAACATGCCACCTCTCACCGGATTTCCACTGGAAGTCATTGACACATCCTTTGAATCAACAGATGCATCGGCCGCCGGGCCAAAAAAACGGCTACTTTCTCCTTCACCAGATTTCGGATCCATCATGCATGTTGTTTTTCCACATGTTGCAATTTTAGACTGATGCCGTGACCTTTTCATCAGCAGAACTCAAGCTTGTGCACTGGAGTTCTCCACTCTAATTCGAGATGCATGATCGCACTCGACAATCAGCTCATACCCAGCTCAGCCTCACAACACACTCCCCATCAACACGAGCGATAACATTTTCAACACCACTATGACAATACACCTTGGCACTTTTCAGCCGCATCCCTGCCGCTGCGCCGCGCCGCGCCGCGCCATAGCGAAGCTGTTTTTCACCACCGACGAGTCCGACTACGTCATGCACTTTCCCTGGCCATATGCTCACGCCACACCACCGCCACTACCTACTACACAACCACAACCCACATGGCCGCTGCCGCAGCCTCCAACTGCACCCACCTTTCCCTCACCAACACTCCCTCGTCCACAACCACAACCATACCAAGCTCCACCTCCTATGCCCATTCCAGCCACTACTGCACTGTCCTACGGCACTCCTTCCACCTGGACGATTGTGCAACCCACACACCCACACCCACACACCCAACCGCCACCGCAACCCACACACCCAATTTCCAACCGCAGCACCTTCTCCTTCATACATGTTGCCACAACTACATCCCACACCACCTGCGGAGCCTAACCCCATCGCGCCGACCCATCCACTTTCAGCACCACAACAAGCAACAGTTGCCCCTCATCCACCCACAGACCCGCAATGCACCATCCCCCAGGGAGTTTGGCAACCTTACTCCGTTTTTCCCCCAGTCACACAACCTTCACCTCAACCTTTGCCTCCACCGCAGCCTCCACAAGCCATCGGCGCTCCACCACCAGTTCAACCCTCCAACCCACAACCGACGCCACCAGACCTCACACCACCGATTCAACATGCCACCACCTCAGCCACGGACCCATCCACACCGGTCCAAACCGTGACCACAGCCACCGGCTCCCAACCTTCTGAATCACCATCCGTTGCATCAGCTCCACCAGCCCCTACGCCTTCACTACCTGCAACAGACAAGCCAGACAACACCGCTTCCCCGGCGCCGCCACCACCTTCCCCACAACCACAACACAGCAGTCGCCGCCACCACCATAAGAGCCGACGCAAATCTGACCATCACCACAGAGGGCGCCACCACCACCGCCGTCGGCATCGACATCACCGCCATTCAAAGCACCACAGCACAACCCGGCGACGCCGTTCGCCTTCTACATCCACTTACTCGTACAGCCCCACACCTTCCCGCAGCCGTTCTCCACAACCCATTGACTTACGCCCCAACACCGAACACACTAACACCGACCCCTCTCAATACCCCACCACAGCAGTCCTTCGTCGCACACTCAACCGCTGGCGACCTCCACCCAACTTTCAAGCTCTTTCACCTGCAGACCAACTTCTCGAATGGTTCGAATTCCACGCTAACCAACTCGACACCCCCAACCGACCACAGCACCAGTACATCGCCAACCTCCTTACCGACTGCAACATCACCTACAAGGAGATCACCGATTTCCGACAATACACCCACGCCAAGTGGAACGACACCACTCGCCAATACGACCAATCCCAATACAACGCCATCTCACTTCCCTTCCTCAACACCAAGGCCACCACACCTGAACCACCTGCGGTTTCCCGAGCCACCTCAACCCACCGGGAAGTCGCCCACATCAATGCCGGCCATACAGGCCCCGTCGGCAACATTTCCAACATCCTACGCCAAGGTCGGTTTTTACCGAGCACACTCCACTTTGCCAACTACCCTGGCTTTTTTGCCCAGGGTGTTCGCATCACCCACAATCAACCCCATGATCAAAGCGAGTTTGCTCGCATCATCCACAACACCTGGCAACTCCACAAGAACTCCCACTCCATCATCATCACACTCCTTGCTTGGGGTGCTGCCACAAAATACACCTCCGGAGGAGAGGAATACGCCATGACCCTCCTCAACGATCACCACGGCGCCGTCTTCCACCAGAAGGGCCGCTGCTGGGTGATCCACCCGGACCACGCCATAGTCAAAGGACTGGCCTGGTCCACCAACTCCACTCCACCCGACATGTAACACCACAGTCCAACACCTCCACACCACTGCCACCTTTACCTCCACTCTTTGTCTCACACCACTACACAAACCTTCGCCTATAGCAGCGAAAAGACTTTTGCAGCGGTCACGCGACTTTGTGCGCTTTCAATTTTTCAAGCTTTAACAATTTCGTTCCGCAGAATATCTTTCTGAATTTCACCAGTTTCTCAGATGATGTCTTCTTCACATGTTGGAGTTTTTCGCTTTTGATCTTTCAGTCCAGCTAGCATTTTTCGAACCATGCCCGCGGGAATTTGCTGCTCGGTTAATTCATATGCATGGCCCCGTGATGACGCGTTCACGCTGCGCAGCTGCCGCCCTGCTGCCGTGCCGCGCTGCCGCAGCAACCTGCGCCGACCTGTGTGACCGTACACTCGCTACATCTTCACATCATGAGCAGCACAGTGCCACCTCCACGCAATGACACCCAAGCTCTTTTACATCAGACAACTGTGGCACTTTCGCAGGTCCAAAACTTGCTCAGACAAGCAACCGATATTGTAGCACACCTTCACACTCACTTACTCCACCACGCCCACCAAGCGGATCCCACTTTCCGCCAACACTTTCAGCCACTACCAACTCCACCAACTCACCCTATACGTTTACCGTCCACCACCTCCTCTTGTGACTCAGCACCATCTCGACCACCCATTCGCTCACCAGCGCCACCCTCACAAGACTCCGATGACACACCGTCAATAGCCCCAACCCCACAACCTACTACAACACGCAAGCGAAAGCAGCCACTGCTACCACCACTGAACCAACAAGCAGACTGGGACGCTTGGGACGGCGACGCTGATTGTCGCCTTGTGGAACTCAAAGGAAACCCTCGACTCCGTCCCAACTGGGTTTCTGTGGCTCGCCGAGTTGGCTTCTCCGTCGAGCAGTGCCAAGCCCGATGGCAAGAACTCAAAGACATGCAACATCTACAGGACCAACAACTTTCCTCCAAACCACCACAAGCAGATCCATCACTACAAGTACCTTCCCCCTCACCAACACCTACTTCACCAGCAGCTTCACCACCACCACTCTCACAACCGGATTTTTCCCCTTCTCCTAAGACAACACCACCGACCTCACCCCAACGATCACCTCCAGCTGATGTGCTGCCGCAGCCGGCCGCTGAGCGAGCGCCTAGTGAGAACAGTCATCCGGAGAAATCTCCAAACACGCCGGTTGGCATTTATTTCATGTGATCCGTTTCACCCAGCTTTCTCTCCGGCGTGCTGCAGGACAAATCCCTTGAAGTGCAGTGACAGGTTTTTCTCAAGTCCTTTCTGCAATCGCCACTCTTTACCTTTTGCAACTTTCAGTCTTTCATGTCCCCAGGCTCACTCTAGCTTCGCAGCTGTTTGTGCGCCACTTTGTCTTTTTTGCTTGTACAGACCTTCATGGCCAACCCTCGAGCTCGCCCACACGTCAACACAGCCAACACAGAGTACTACTTGCCACAGCGGCCCCCGAGCTGGCTCCAACCTTCAATTTGCACTCAACCTGACTTTCACTCCCTCAACTTTTCCCTTGACCTTCTTTTCATGGTCAACCAACACCTTCGCCACCACCCACTCAACACAGACCCCATGCCAGACCAAACATATTTTCAAGACCAGAGAGCATACAACCTCCCTGATCTTGATGGACCGGCTGATTGACAGCCTCTACCAGGCTCGCCGGCTCCTCCAATTTGTCACCACCGGACCAGGCCTCCCAGGGCAATATCGCATCAACCCCAGGAACCTGGCCATCATACACCACATCCCACCAGGCTTCCCACTACCACCCGGACTTTCCAGCCGTTCACCCTCTCCAGCACCACGTACACCACCGCAAGACGCGGAACGATCTCACCATCACTGGACAGGTCCTCCACGGCAAACTACCCCGGCCACCAACATCAACACTGCCATTCGCATCCGAGAACGCTCTCGCTCCCGCGACACCCGCAGTGGCTAACTACAACTTTCAGCACCACAGCAACATTACAACCCGGGATCTGCAGCGGCCGCTATGCACTTTCCCACACCTGAGAGGACTTCCTAGGCCACAGTTGCT